TGTTTATAGACAGTCATAGATATTTTGGAGCGTGGTAAATAATATTTGATTATTCTTTCTTCCAGAGAAGTTGTATATTTTAACAGTAGCTATTTATTTGCTTATAATTGCTTGTGCTCAGCTAAGAAGTCTCAGCAAATTTGATTCAAATCTGATGCCATAATTACAGGCTTTCCATTTCTTTCAGTCATCTCTTCATACAGCTGTAAGCTTTTCTCTACATCAGGAACTGACTGAAGCACTTATATTTAGTCTGATGGCAACACCAGATCAACCGCCATTCACTTTTGCCCTGCACGAGTCAAGGATTTACTTACTAAAATGCTTTACATTCTAGGATGACAGAACAGCCACCTTAAAGTAAGCACAGGAAATACTAATGTGCTTTAGTGCATCTTTTCACAGAAGTTTTGTGTGCTTTCTTGGTCCATTGCATGACGTATCAGGCAGAGAACTGACCAGTTATGAAATGGATGAAAGGTAATTTGGAACCTAACAATATTTCTGCAACCTAAACTAGCTGACTTTGGATATGTATGTTTTATTTTCCAGAATCTGTAATTCCATACGAAAGGCCTGTATATACGCTGCTAATGTTAAGTCTGTCTTGAAGTGGCTGTTATGCAGTTGCTTTATGTATTGTTCTTATTTTTTAATGGCATCAATTACGGAAATACTAAAGCTCAAATATCAATTGCAGCATGCAGTAATATTGTCCAATCACTGGATTGAATTAATTTTCAGATCTATTCAACCTACTTTGAAGCTGTTCCAAAAAAAATGTTTTGAGCACTTACTCTTTATTACCAACAGAAGACCTCAGAAACAGAATTACATGTAGATTCTAGGCACCTCAGAACCGAGTTACACTTCCTTTCTGAAACCAAACTACTCTAAGAACATAAATGATCTCACAAAAGAAGATACAAAGTATTAGAAAGGAAAAGCATCACCTTTACCAGCGAGAATATGATATCCTGGAAAATAAACCCTACATCCATCCTTGGTCCACTCAACCAAGAACAAAACTGGCCAGCAGAATCATATCATATACAGTGATGTCAAATTTGGACCAAGCTGCTTTTGTGTATTCCATTTATATTACAGTAAATGATGAGTAACAAATGATGAAAACAATACACACTTAATGGTTTATTCGATCCACCTGTTGCTTGTTACATCCATATTTAGACTTCCTTGTTTCTGCTTGGCTTATGCTAATATGTTATAATCTTATTCACAAGCATTTAAAGAGATTTACTTACATAGTGAGTACGTAGGAAGAAAAAACAGCATTACAAAGTTTTTTTTCTTAGTGACATTGTTCAATCTGTGTTATGACCAATTTGGACAATGCTGGAAATGCTAAAAACACCTGACAACCACTAACAAATCTTCTTACTCATGACTGCCTATTTTTCACAACTCATGTTATGCCATTTCCTCTAAACTGGAAGCATCACATGCCACTTAGCTTATCCAATGGCTGCATCCTTTGTAAGTGGAAGGAATTTTCCCAGTTCTGACTGTACCACACCACAAGCTATTGTATTATTCTCAGATATTTCACTAGAATTATTATGGGGGCAACATGGCCTCTGGAGATCTCTGCCTGAGCTCTATTATGCGATTTCAACTCCATGTTTTAAACAGCTTTAAAACCTTCCTTTGTCTTTTGAGTCTAGATAGATGCACCCGTACTAGTGCTTTAGTTCAGCTCACAAGAGATACTCTGAAGACTGTCCCCACCGATAATGCTTTCGTTTACAATGCAATATAGGCTCGAAGCACACTAACAATTATCTTTTTATTAAACTATACTGTGAAACTGAGAGTCCATCTAATATGAGCTAGTAACTCAAAAGCACTCAGACTGAAGGGCCAGAAAAGAGCCAGGCTTGAAGAAACCTCAGAGAGGAACAGATTGTGCACATCAGGTCCTCAGCAACAACTATCCTGGTCTGCAAAACCAGTTTTGTAATAAGGCCATGCTCTTCACTAAGGAGCTTGTACTGCCGAACATCCACTTCAATTAACATGGCTCCTTCACTGAGCCAAGAGGCTTGGGCTTCCTTAATATTCTTTTGTGTTAGCATGACTACTCCAGCCCACACAAGCTCCTTCCACACATCCAAGCTTCCTCCATCCTTTTCTTACTGCCTTTTCTTCCCTTTAACGAGAACAGTGAGGCAACTCTTCAGAGAACTCCATTTGGTCCAAAAACTATCTTGTTCAATCTACAATCTGCTGATCTCCCAAGATGTTTTTTAAAAAGACTGCCCAATATGAAGTTTCTAAGTGTACATTTCATTTACTAAATGAGTTCACCTAATTTGGCTGCAGGGCGACCTCACTGCAGCCTTTCAGTACCTAAAGGGAGCCTACAAACAGGAGGGGAATCAACTCTTTGAAAGGGTTGATAATGGCAGGACAAGGGGAAATGGTTTTAAGTTGAGGGAGGGGAGATTTAGGTTGGATGTCAAGGGGAAATTCTTTACTATGAGAGTGGTGAGGTGCTGGAACAGAGCTACCCAGAGAGGTTGTGGTTGCCCCATTCCTGGAGGTGTTCAAGGCCAGGTTGGATGGGGCCCTGGGCAGCCTGGTTTAGCATTAAATGGGGAGGTTGGTGGCCCTGCATGTGGCAGGCAGTTGGAGATTCATGATCCTTGAGGACCCTTTCAACCCAGGCCATTCTGTGATTCTGTGATTTTCAAAGGTGTCTACTGAATCACAGAGAACTTATACTCCCCTGTGAGTTGATACCCAAGTAATATGATTGCAAAACAACTTCATGTTCTGAAAACTATTTTGTAAGATGTAAGATCACTTAATGGTTAAAAAAAAAAAAATGTTACCAGCCTTTCATTTTAAAGATCAATTTTGAAAAAGGGTAGTGGGAGTGGGTTTCATGCAATTGTTAGAAAAGTGGAAGAAGTAAACATAGCAGATTTTCATAGATCCTGACATCCACTGGAACAGAACATCTTAGCATCACACTCTTGAAAACAAGCAGAACTTCACGTGGATAGAAATATCTGGCCAATTAAGCATCAATCCAATTGATTGAACGCTAGTAAATTAATTATAAAATGCTGGTTCACACCAACACAGTTGCTTTCATGATGCAACTTACTGTGACAAGAGCTACAGAGCCTTAGAGCTGAAATATGGTAATGGAATATTATTAAAAGCACTTGGAACTTTTACTTGTTGAAAGACTGCACTGTAAATCCCAAATTCTGATTAGACAGTACCCATAACATTGCCTTGGCATAGTAACAGCACATTTTACAAATTAGGCAGTCAAATATGGGCTGTACAGCAGCAACAATAAAAGACCAGGACATACCAAAGTAACCTTCCAGAGCAAACTTTTCCTGACCTTTCCAAAAGAGAACAGTTGAAGTCTTTTCTCAGTAGTTTCCTCTCTTGCTTTTCTATTCCAATCTCCTGCGATCTTCTCTCATTATGTATTTTGTTTCTCAAAAGAAACAACAGGGAAGGAACTGCAAAGTGTCACTAGCATAGTACTTGAATAATTTAACAAGAAAAAAAAAAAAGGCAGATCCTCTGACGTAGACAAAGTTAAAAGGAGCAGAACAGAAAGCTTAGGAGCACAATTTGTAAGGATTTCTGTGCAACAGAAATGAGGCAAGCCAGAAACACTTAAAGTAATAGATGACAAATGATAAGGAGAGCAATCATTTCGAAGTTCTATTTTTTTAGATTCAACTTCACATAAGAAATGTTATCTCTAAGAGAAATATTTTGAATCAGAATTATTACGACTTACTGTTGACAGAAAGTTATTTCATAGTTACAGCTTCAAAATAATGACCTGTTTTCTAAGAGAAGCAGCAAGACATGTGGACAACTTTTTTAACAAGGCACTGAAATACAATGCTACCATTCCTTGTACTATACACCAGAGTGCCTTCCTGCAGACAGCTAAGCAATGCCACTGATCTGCTATGTCTAATTTTTCATAGCAAACTATCTTTCTCATTAGTACATAAAAAACAGGGTGCATATTATTACAGTTTGCAAGGATAAAAGACGGATCTACTACATTTACAACCTAATCTTAGAAATCCACTTGTTTAGCAGAAAAACTGCCCAGGAGTCATCAGGCCATGCTGAATCTCAGCGTACCTGCAAGTAGCTGCAGGTTTAAACACACAAAATTCCCAGGGACTTGTGTCCCGAGTACCAGAAGCAAAGCTAGAAAGAATTCAGATCCACACATTTCCTTGATTATCCCTTGCTTGTAAAGAGGAGATGTAAAAGGCAGTACTTTGCATGCATAAGTGACTTCTTCATGTTTCAGTTAAACATGCTATACAGTTTTATACGTGATCAAGCATATTTTTAAAAAAATTCATAAATATGTAGCAGAGAAGCAACAGTGCATCGCACTTGCAGGTTATCAAGATCAAAGGGCCTCAGAGAGTCTTTCTGTCACTCTATTACCTTTCAACTTTGCACGTAACCTGTCACCTATGGTAACATCGAGAAAAAATGCAGCTTTATGTTGCACAGAACGATCCTAAGTGCTCTAGGAGACACATGATGGCTGAATCAGTAATGGAAAAAGGAAACACTTGAATATCCTCAGTTCTCACTTCTTCAAAGAAATCTCCATCCAACACAAAGATCTACTGAGTTGCCAAAAGAAAAAAAAAAAAAAAAAAGGAAGGAGGAACAGTAATCATCACAACCAACATAAACGCTGTTTTCAAAGAGCTTACTAACCGCATCGGAAAGCAAAAAGTAGAAGGTAGCAGTGTACTTCCCTCAGATTTGTGGGTGAAAGAACAAAGCCCTAAGTTCAAACAGCTTCCCATGAAAATAAAGGCAATCCATAAGAAAAACACAGTACTTTGTGTGGTCCAACATAAATAAAGAAGTTATCAGGAAGGCATTAAGGTCCATGTACAGAAACACTTTTATTCAATAAAAGCAGAAATGGAGATAGGTTTTATTTAAGAATTTAAATCTTGCTTTAAGAGGGAAAAAAAAATACTGCCAACTTAAAATTAAATATCTCATTTAAATAAGTCATCTAAGTGAACCAGAATAATTACAAAATATTCATACTATGAAAAAACGCTTCCAACAAGTACTGTTACCATAATATCCAATACAAAGTAAACCAAAAGTTATTTGCCACAAAATTCCAAGTTAGTAAAACCTCTCAGAGTTATATATGAGTTTTCCTTTTTCATATTTAATTATGTTCATTTGAGATGCAGAGTTGACAGAAGGCCAAAGGTGGCACAGAAAAGGGCTTCAAGAACAAATATTTTCACAACAAACAACTGTCAGAAAAATAGTAATCTTCCCTATAAAAAAGATTTTTACAGTAAGCATTCCCTTGAGCAGAGCAAGTGTTTAATAAAGCTGAAAATACATGAAAGTTTTACCATTTCAGGTAGTTCCCTTTGCTCCAAATATTCCTCTATTAAGTGAGCTATAAAATGCATTGCTTACAGAACATTTCTGTGTTTTAAGTGTTACCATAGGGGAAAAAGTTTCTGCAAAACCTACATATTGCATCTCCCACAGGAATCAGATAGTGGGAACAAAATACAGTAAAGAATCCTTCATCACTCCCAGTGCAAAGTTCTCCTGTTAATCAGACATGGGAAGAGGCATTAAAATGGAAAGAGGTGGCATGACAAAAATAAAGTGCTTAGCACTGGCTTAATTTGTTACCTAGAGTGTACCTTTGAAGTCAGAAAGTTTATTAAAGTCATTCTTGAAAGTAAAATAGTTTTTATGCACAAGACAAGTATAATACATATTAAATTTTAGTGATCTAGTAGAGTAGTGCCTCTTAACTGTATTTCCAAAATACATTTTTCAGTCATATGCTCCATGAACACCTGAAACTGCAGTCTTGCTTATTAGAAAGACGGAACTGTATGCAATTAAGAAAAAAAAAGATTGAGAAAAGAGGTAACTGTTTCACTATAAAATCTTATTTGCATTAAAAAATGGACAAAAAATCCAAATGAGATTATCTGAAAAGCAAATTTCTCTATCATGTAGAGACCATCAACGAACATATTTATGTCTAAAAAAGCAAAAACATGACATGTTGTATATCTGAAGTTTTATTGATGGGAATGCAAGTATAACCATGACATAGCAGAGAAAATGTTTGTAACATTTCATAATGAGAAATTCCTTAAAACATCTGCAGTCATTTGAACTCATGTTAACCTCAAAATATTCTTCTAGTAGTCTATTGCAGATGGTTACTTGAAAAAAATCTCAACGTCAAAACTTTCAATTAAAAAACCCTACTGTTTGTAGGAACTCTATTTTAGGTATTTCATATAGTTTCATTTCAGGAAGTACTGACTATTCTTCTTTAGGAATATAAATACTCCCATTTGTTCAAAAGTTGTTTTCCCCCCAGAAGTGGCGCACTGCCCCTCATGGCTAATTATCACCAAAAACTCAAATGAATGCAGATGCTTATTACTTACACATTTTTGGTTTTAAATATGCTCCCCCATCACACAGTTCAATTTAATTAATGGAAGTGCATACCTGAGATACTATGTTATCTATATTTACTTTTTCTGGAAGAGATACTAAAAGGAAACGAATCATCACGTAATATTTAGCTGAAGTGCTCCATTTTCTTTAAGCCTTTCTTCATTTCCAAGAACTGGTCAGCTGCTAACAAAGCAGCAGAGAAAACACCATACATCTTTTATTTATCTCTCATGTCTTCATTGCTTGCATCTGATCTGTTAACAAACAGAAACATCTAGTATTAACAACAAGTAAGCTGAATAACTGTTCCATTTCACTTTTTGAACACATAAACCCAGTATGTCCATGTTACAGAACAATGTCAATAGATATTTTTGGTGTAGTTAAAAATGGGGAGAACGGTGCAGTTTGTTGCAGTTGTTTTCAACTTGATCTGTTATCCAATACTGATATTCTCCCATAGCAAAGCAGTTTTCCCTAAATATAGGTCATTAATCAGGAATAATCTTACACATGATTCATTTTTTTAATCATTTACAAGCTTATAAAGGAACTCCGATAAGAACAAAGTCTGAAAATCATGAAATTCACATTTCAATTCCTTGCACACTTACAGTTTCCACATAACCAAACTAGTACTGAATGCCCAACAGCCACAAACACCAAAGTTTGTTTTTGCATAATTCACATGGAAACATCCTTGCTCTCAGTAACCATGCTTCTCCATACAGAGAGCCTGATTGCCACTTCCAAATTTACTTCAAACGTTCTCTTCGTTTGCATAAATATATTGCATTCCCATTATAAAATGTCGATGTCAGCACAGTTTAATTACAAGCAGTGGTAGGGAACAAGAGCTATGTTTAGACCAGCATGAGACAGGCTAGTTTTACCTTACTGATGATATGGTGCTGCAATAAAAATCCCCATTACAAAATGTGGAAATAAGCAGCATCAGCATTTGCTGAGGAAAAAAGGGCAAGATCTGTCCCTTCTCAAATCAGCAAACTTATGAAGAGCTGCAAAAGACCCATAAACAGGTCTGGAAAAAGGAACTGAGGAAAGTATTGCTGTTAAGAAAAAGTACACTACATTTCATTAAGTAGGTGGCTGCTCCTTCACTTAAGTTTATGACATCCAAAAAACCGGGATTTAAGTACCAACATAACTTCGAGTTGTTCCAGTTTTTCCCCTTCAGTGCTCCAGAAATGGGCAGGAGAACTGTAGTAGAAATTGATTCTTGGAATTGAAATTTATTCTTCATCCAACGAAGGTATAACCACCAAGTTTAAACTCAATTCCACTTCAGTTTTTAGGGAAGACTGAGATGAGAGCTAGTGGTTATTCTTCTAGGTAAAATCTTTGCCAGAAGAATTTCAGCTCAGAAAATTAATAAGTTTAACTATCCACGAGAAATGAATAACTATAAAGAGCTTTATAAATAAACAACAGTACAACTACTTGCTTTCAGAACTTAGAAATCTACCTAAACAACGTAGAAGCACCTCAGATGCTTGTCTAACTACTTTACAGCAATGTATTTAAGTAGCTTGATGTGGTGTACAAAATCGCCAGCTCCAAATTTGGACTGAAATAGAGTTTTCCTCAAAGACAAGTAGAGGCCCAGGAAACAAGAAGAGACTACAAAATGAGAACTATGCCTACAATTAGGAAATACATGATTTGGAATGTATTCTCTGTGATACAAAACAACAGTGAAGGAGGTTCCATAGTAAGACGCTGCTTCCCCGCTACAAAATTCTTTTAAATATTAGAGGATGCATAACTTTTCCTCTGCTAGGCAGCAAATCTCCTTGGGAAGACTACTACCAAACAGCATCCCTTCCCCTGAGAATATTATCATTCCTTAAAATGTAATAAAATGAAACCTTTCTAACAGTATCCATGAACAAGTGGAGACAATCAGGTACAATGCTAGATATTTAGTTGCACCTTTTAAGGAAATTAACGGCACTGAATCTGGTACACTGCTGACATCTAGTGGCTACCACAGCACAGAACACATCCACACGAACCATCTCACACACATTTTCTTCTCAGATTATACTACATCATGTAATGCATTTACAATGTAAGCAATGCACATTAGACAGACGGAGCTAAAATTGGAACAATACTACACTTCACTGTTCTATACATTTAGCTGTACATGGGAGGACAAAAGAGACCAGATCCTTACCAATATGCAACATAAGGAGATACAGAGTAAAAAAACCAAGTTTGCAATTGAGAGTTTGTATGTAAAATATTGTCTAAGCCAGATCCCTTATTTTCTATGTAGTTATGAATGTCTACATACACTAGAATACTTATAACCTAAGCTGGCTGAAGAACTGAAGTTGAATGACCAAAAGCAGTGCATTTATTTTTCTAAGCTGCTTATTCCTTGTTTCCAAATACACAACAAGGTACAGAAAACTGGGACAGGAAGGTAAGAATAAACTGAAGTATTAACTCAGTTACTGCTATACAAATTGAAGTTCAAGAGCACCAGGTATCATTAATTCTGCAAGGAATAGTTTTGCTTTGTTTGCAAGAGTATGTATAATGTTTCAGACTGTATTTTGGCAGAGGATCTGATATGATCTTTGTATGCATATCAGGGGGATAAATGAAAGATAAGTATGAGATAGAGCATCAATACTCACTGTGTGATTTGATCTGACAGCAGAATTGGACAGAAAGAAAACAAAGAAAATAAAGAAAAAACTTAAAAAAAAAAATAAAATCAAATAGTTTAACAGAATGAAAACAGAGCAATAATTATGTACAGAACAGTATACCTTGGAGCCAGTCCACACCTTCCTGCAAGCCTTCTCCTTTAAGAGCATCACTGGCACTGAAAGAAACAAACAAAATAATGAAAATATTGCAATAATACCATTTTCATCACTAAACCCATAATTTTCAGAACTGTGGAGTAGCATAAACTACACTTCAGATTACTTCACCTGGAGAAGATTGCTTCTCAAATGATGTATTCTAGAGTGCATTCCCAACGTGGGAACACCATTTTGAGACGTGGTCAATTTTATTTTGAGAAACTACTCTAGTTTCAGGCTGAGGAATTGTTTCTAGAACATGAGGGGCTCTGGAAGAGCGCCTACACAAGGGAGAGCCACACTGTTCTGCTGCAGATACATTTAAGCAACACGCTCTGCAGACAATGGTGTAGAAGATACATCAGTATTACTGTAGACAGTAAATGAAGTAGCTGTGTCTCTCTTCCCATGCAGTTTCTATACACTGTGAAGCTGTCAGACTACTATACACCCTAGATCTGTCCATATATAAAATAAAGAAAATCAAGCTGCCATGAGAACAGTGAGGATCTAAGAGAGTGCAACATGTTTAAGGCTCCTCATTCTGCAGCTTATGAAATTTAGCTCAGTAGCAAATATGCGCTGTTACTGTTGTTATCTATAAAATTATTTTTCAAGTAGCTTGAGAATCCATCAGCGTAAAGCTGGGACCCCCAAAATAACACCCAGGCAAATCAAATTTAATAGATAAGGACATAAATGAACATTTTATTTTTCAGCAGCGTTTAGCTGCTGATCTTACTTTTAATATCTGAGAACTTCAGTAAAACAAATCTAACACCTGTAAAGCACTTATGAAAGAGGTTTCTTTCTCTCCCCTCCTCTGTGTGTACAGATAAAATTGTTTTATCTATAGGAAATCTTTACATCCTTCAGAAAAGGAAATACAATAGTTCTACTTCCCAGCAAAAATAGTTGCTACTACTCTTCTGATAAGAACATTTTGAGCTCCGTGAAGTTTTCTATTTCATTGTTTGGGTAACAGATCTCTTGTGAAAATCTTCAAGTCATGGTCTATGTGAAAGCATCGTGTGTTTAAAAGAAATTTCATAGCAAGTATTGTGATGTTCCTACTCTTCCCACATATAGCAGCACAGCATTTTATCTGGCTTATTTAGTTAGTATTACATAAAGGGTGGCATGAAAGTGCTAGAACATGAATGTACAAATTAACACCACTAAAAATGAAAAAATAAAAAGAAAATTTACCAGATATGCCAAGGTTTGTCTTTGATGTTTTCTAATGATAATAACTGAGATACTTTCACAGATGATATTGCATCCCTGAGGTCCATCTTGTTTGCAAAGAAAAGAATAGGCAGTCGACGGTGCTTAATATCTAGGAGTGAGTAGAAGCAGAACTACCATGACAATATGCAACACTATCTCTGCAAGCAAGAAATTGCAAATGATAAAAGAAGATAATTTGCTCACCTGTAACTGCAACTCTTTGAAGACTGTATCCTACCAAGATGCTTGCTGTTGGGTCACGTGGCCTCTGATGCATGCTTAAAGAATGCCCACAAACTTTCTGGGAAGCTTTGGGATCTTCCACCCACCTCTCCCCCTACCTTATATAAAGCTGTACATATAAATTGCTGGTGAAAAAGAGCAGGATTTCAAACAGCTCCTTAAAAATACTACATGTCTCTGCTTAGTGAAATCTGAACATGCAAAATGGATGTTAAGAATGATTTGCATTCATTCATATCGTCCCAAAAGCAGAACCACATGAATAGTCTGTATTATCCTATAACATCCTGGAGAGCATCCCTGGCTTTCTTTAAATAATCATGAAACAGGAAAAAGATGTGCACATCTGGTCATCTCTTGTCCCACTTTCACTTGAACTAAGACTTCACTTCCAGAAGCTTGTCTCAGTCAGCAGTGGGAACCACAGAGCAAACCAATGACCTTGGTACAATGCCAATCTCCAGCACACTCATGCGTGCAAAAGCATAAGCCTCTCTGATTACCACAAAAGGTAGAAGAGCCATTGCAAGGAAATAAAGTACACATATGTCAGCTTGAAGAGAACAAAATGGCAAAAAATTACTAGTATCAATGCTAAGAATTTTTCACATTAATAAGAAATTTTAAAAAGGATAATTACAGGATTACCAAAAATCTAGAGTTGATGGGAAAAAATCTTTTAAAGAACTGGTGAATACTCTATTTCTTAGAACAGTATAAGGAAAATACACAGGAAACAAACGAAGGATTTATGTGGAGCCTTAAACGTAAGTCAGCAGACCCTGCTAGGGAAGGTGGCAGACACCTACCCCACCCTTCAGTTGTTTGCTAAATAAACTGATAGCCACAGATATTTATATCTTTCCTACCTTATTACATTATTTCCAACTATGCCACATTCACACCTCCCACTTCCCCTCCAACTTTCAGTGCTTACTAATGGAAAGCTAACATTTTCTTGTAACAAACTGTTATGAGCTAACACATCAAGAAAACTCAAACACCACAGATGTGCAATGGGCAGCTTTTAAATAACATGAAATTTTTATACATTCTATATTCTTTATATAGAAGCATGTGCTGGAGGGCAAGTGACCCAAGAGTCAACATCTAAATGGGTAATCTAAAGACTATGATTCCGCAAAATGCTCAAGTTTGATAAGCAAAATAATATGGTAACAGTGATCATTAAAGAAGATGTTATTTGTTTGTGGACAGTACCCTCTACAAGTAAAAAGGAAATGGTTCTGATCCATGAAACAGTCCCAGGTAGTACAACTTCCAACATCATTAACACTTCACATTACATGTTCCCTTTCACTTAACCTCTTTAGACAAAACCTGGCAAAAAGAGATGGAACTTCCTGTTATACTAAAGGATTACCTAAAATTTTCAAAGACTGGAAATTACATGAGGTTGTTAATCAGCATGCATTTAAACCTTAAATAAACATGTACATTTGAGCCAAGCTTTGCAGAGGCAGAAGCAAAGAAGAGCAATAAGCAAGGTATGCAGAGGAAGAGTAGAACAAATGGCTTTAAACTGGAAGAGGGTAGATTTAGACTAGATATTAGGAAGAAATTTTTTACTGTGAGGGTGGTGAGACACTGGAACAGGTTGGCCAGAGAGGTTGTGGATGCCCCCTCCCTGGAAGCATTCAGGCTGGATGGGGCTTTGAGCAACCTGATCTAGTGGGAGGTGTCCCTGCCTACAGCAGAGGATGTGGAATGAGATCATCTTAAAGGTCCCTTCCAACACAAACTATTCTATGATTACTGTAGTAAAACAGCAGTAGTTAAAATCATTTAAACTCAGTTAAAATCCACTTTTATCAAACATTACATGCTTTGCTTCTCTTAAGACATATTAAAATCCAAAACAATAAAACAGGCACTCTACTACTGCACTTGATCTAAGCTGCTCCAAGGCAAAAACACAGAATCGTCTGTTCTTGGTACCTGGGAATATTCTAGGTAGCCACAGCCATGATCTTTCAAAACCAGAAGACATCAAATTTATCAAGAACTGAACAGTTCTGACATACGAGATCAGTGTTAGTAACCTGCTAATTCCCAAACAAAACACCTAAGCTTGCATATCCTCAGCCTTAATATTTTATGCTATCACAGTCTTTACCTCTCATCCTCGCTTTTCCATGGTTTCCATTTTATCTACAGAATCACCTTTTTACAGATGTGGTTAATACCTGCTTTGTTACAAAATTCCTTAATCCATAGGTAATCCACCTTCAGCCCTTGGTTCACCTCTACCCTTCCCTTGAACTTTGCAAGGCTGTCATTTCAGTGCATGCATTTGAAGTAACCCATACTGCTGAACGTGAAACAAAGAGGGCTCAGTCAGCTCACACACAGTTAGCTGCCACATCTCTGCTGATCCATTCACATATTAGATGCAGTCTGCACAGAAAATGGAACTGTAGCAATATGTTTGCTCCTGCCACATATCACTGTCCTTGGTTGGAAATACAGAAGCCAGCTTCACCTTTCTTAGTGCCAGCAAAGTGACTCTGCCAGTTAAGGCTCTACTAGCTAAATAAACATGAAAATGCAGTACAATTTTGCATTAAATTTCCTGCATGCAGTTTCACACTCTAGCTGCTCAGAGCAATTACCTACTGTCCCAAAAGCCAGACAAAACTGCATATTGCTTAGAAATACATAAATTTGATTCTATATATGGAAAAGTGAATAATGGAAGAGTTGACTGATCTCAAAACTTAAAAGAATGCAGACTCAGAGTTAAACAAACAAACCCTCAAAAACAAGTGCCTTATCACAAATTCCCACATTTCTTCTTCCATTCCATTTATCCTTTTATAAGCAATTGAAACTGTCTGGTATAATTATATACGTGATAGCCAGAAATGAGGATAATCAGAAAAGAAAATAATAGATGATATTTAAAACAGGAAAGTTTCATTAAAGGAATTTGCCATCTTCACAGAAAAATAAATAAATAAATATAATCAGAAAAGCAAATTTTTTGGTGTGCATGTTGGTCACCACATCCTGGCAGCACTCTAGCTTCCAAGAGGTTAAAATCAGTCCTTCCTCAAACCAGTGCCATTTTTGTTATGTACACATTAACAAGAGATGAGTCCAACTCATTGTACCCAGCTTAGGTATGATCAGTTTGTAAAACTCAATAAGGATACAAAAAAAAAAAAAAAAAAAAAACTACCCCAAAGACTTACTCAAGCCCATCATTCTCATTCTAGTATTCATGCACATCTAAAATATTTGTAAGATATCCAGAATGTGTCAGATAAGAAGGGCTATTCTTACTACAATATAACAAATATGGAGACAGAAGGGGATAGAGGTCTCCTCACCTGGATGATTCAGAAGAGTGTCAAGTTCTTCTTTGGCCACAACCATTCTTAATTTGTCACTGCTATCAATGACAAAAATAATGGCTTGGCCTTCTCTGCATAACATAAAAAGAGCAAAGAGGCAAATTATAGGTTCTCTCAGACTGTGATTAAGGCTTCAGAAAAAACACCAGAAAAGGCAAACAAACCCAATTTTTTCCTCTCATTTTCTGTTGCTATTTACCATTAACATTTGAATCCCGCCCTATTTCTGAAATTCAACCTTTTGGTAACCTGCATAAATTCATCTGAGACACGAGCCGCGTGACTTGTGCAGGGCTCAGGCTACAGAACAGACCCTTTGGAAATCCTGATTTCACCACCACCAGGTTGAAAAACGAACTGTGAGAATGTAATCAGAACTGTTACACTCAAGAAAGGTTTCTCGTAAAACCCCCGTTTCCTACACTAAAAGAAGTACATTTTAAGAATAAACAATAAAAACATTGAGCATTCTCCAAAGATGAAATGCAGGTCCACGTGTTTACCAACTAGGCACATTTGGATTAGTTAACTTTTACAACAGTCTGCATTAAGATCTTTTTTGCTTTTGAACAAGAAGTGAACATTTTCAACTATTTCAAATCATTACGACAACTTGCTGGCAGCATCACCACAGACAAAACATACATACATGCTATTCAGCTCATGTTTTCAGCATTTTACTGATGTTGGTTGACCTCGTATTTCATTTATTGAGACTTGTTTGAAAGCAAAATTAAGTTTGAACAATACAGGTGAGTAGCTATAGGGGACCCAAAAAGTATTTTCAATTTCCATTTTAATGCAGTACTTATTTCTCTTTTGTTTTACACTTTTTCTGAAATCATTACAAGCTATTTCTTCACTCAGCCCCATCATTCTTTGCTTTTCAATCAGAACACAACAAAAAAACCCTCAGTCCTACACTTTACTGCAAAAGGAACAACTTGCCTTGTCTGAATCTGTATGAGAATGTTCCTTATTTTCTGATACAGAAGAACTTCAACAATAAACAAAGCTTCTGAATATAATCTGAAAAGGCCTGTGTTTTTTATGACCATACAACATTTGTCTAGAACAATCAGCATATCTTTACTACAAAAATAATTTAAAAAAACAGTAGCAGTGATAAGAACACAAGAGTTTTCAAATAATTAAGATGTGCCCTTTGAGGACATCCTAGAAAGTAGTTTCAAACCAAAGCTTTATGCATTTTAAGGCAACTATTTAGATGCAGGTACTTAATCAGAATTATCTGCTAAAATTGGCTGTTCTTACATAATTAAATTTAGCTTAACTTTATCAACTATATTGTGTATAATTATTTACATACATCTTTTAGCAGAAGTTGATCTTAAATATTTGACTCCTGCATTAGGTCAAGAACAGAAGTAGGATACGAGTACACATTTCGCTGTCAGCATTACCTAAGAAATCCCTTCACATTAACATTGAAAAAACAAAACAGTTTATGCTTCACAAAGGGTACCTTGCTGCATAAATATATCAGTGAGAAAAATGAGTTGCTTATGAAGCTCTCAATTGGCATTTTAAAAGGAGTCTGAGGGCATCACTGAAATCCAAAATTACTGGGAAAAACAACTATTTCATGAACAACAATGAAGAATCTCTTGCTCATGCAAGTTTCTGAACTGCTAAGACATTTTTTTTTGCATGAAAAGGAGATGAAGCATTAATGCATTAATCCTCAATTAAAGAATACCTCAAGTTCTATCAAATTAAACATTATAACCTCCAGAACTGAAAATACAACCAGTATGCATGATTTAATAATGTTCATCTTGTATAAATCAGCAGCAGATATTACAGAACAATGATACAACAGAAATGAACCTTCACATTTCATTAGAAACAATAAAAAAAAAAAAAAAAAAAAAAAGACAACAGTGTCTTCTACAGGCAACTCTTTGAGTACTGCATCAACTCCCAAGCCCTTCATATGAAACATGGACCGATAGAGAAGGTTTTGATGGGAGACCTTCCAGTGGCCTGCCAGTACCTAAAGGAGGCCTACAGGAAAGATGAGGAGAAAATCTTCTCAAGGGTACACAGTGGATTGACAATTTTAAACCAGAACACTAGTTAAACTAGATTTAGATTAGATATTGTGAAGATACTCTTCACTATGAGAGTGGTGAATCTCTGCGACTGGCTGTCCTGAGAAGTTGTGCATGTTCTGTCCCTGGAGGTGTTCAAGGATGGGGCTTTCTTTGGGCAGCCTGATCTAGCAGTTAAGTATCCCTGCCCACGGCAGGAGAGTTGGAAAAAAAAGATTAAGGTTCCTTCCAAACCAAGTCATTCCATAAATATTAATCCATGAATAAAGTTATATAAAGTATGGCAAATATCCTGCTTAATAAATAACATTTATTTTGGTGAAGTAAGAAAGAATACTTGGTTTAGATGTAATACCTCATTCTCTCAGGATCCTAAGATAAAAAAACAACACCATCACCACCACCAAAAACACCCTCAGCCATCAGCCAATGGTTTTTGAGTCTTAAAGTCTCTTACCTACAGAGGAATGGAAAAGCAAAAAAACTAATTCACCTTGGTGCTTTCTTACAGGATTGAAATTTTATAGAAGAAAGAGCAATCTCATCTACAGCATGATCTCCTAATCTCTGTGGTACAAGATGTTCCCATGAGTGCATTAGTTAACAGTGTACAAAAAACCCTTTTCTTTTTTCTTTTTTTTTTAGGAATTGCTTTTATCTACAACAACCTCCTGTCCAACCCAAGGCATAAATCTTCTCTGAATCATTTCTGAACGCTAAATGTAATTAGAGTTCTGTCTAAATAATGTACATGCCAGCTAATACGAACAGTAAGGTTTTAAAACAAATAATAGGCTTACTTGTAGTAATGTTCCCAGAGGTTTCTGTATCTGCCTTGGCCTGACATATCAAAAACTGTGAAAGACAAACTGCAAAGGAAAGAAGACAATCAACACAAAGAACAAAATCAAACTATTTTCTTTGATACTCTGACAAAAACAAAACAAAAAACTAAAATCCCAACCATTTGCAAAAGATTCAAAACTGGACCTGGCTACTGTACCTTCCATCCACCCCTACTTAGATACTGCACATGTCTTCTTCCATCTGCTATACTTAGCTATGTGGTCTTACCGTATTTCACAACAGAAAACACGTTTGTTTATTATCTACTTAAACCAATTATGAAAAGTTGCACTGAATACAAAATAAGCTCCCACTCAGCCTTTTCTTTTACCACATTAATACTGACTATTGTTTACATTAAGGTTAGAAGAGACCGTGAAGAACATCCAGTCCATCCGTCAGTCCATCACCACCGTGCCCACTAACCATGTCCCTCACTGCCACATCTACGTGGTTCTTCAACACACTCCACCACCCCCTGGGCAGCTTGTTCCAACATCTCATCAGTCTTTCTGAGAAGAAATTTTTTCCTAATATCCATTCAACCTCAATCTCCCTTGGCACAACATAAGGCCACTACTTCTCATCTTATTGCTGTTACCTGGGAGAAAAGGCAAACCCCCACCTTGCCACAACCTCCTTTCAGGCAGTTGTAGAGTGTGATAAGGTCTCTCCTGAGCCTCCTCTTCTCCCCACTGAACAATCCCAGCTCCCTCACCTGCTCCTCATAAGACTTGTATTCCAGAGCCTTCACGAGCTTTGTTGCCTTCTCTGAACATGCCTCAATGTCTTTCTTGTAGTGAAGTGTCCAAAACTGAACACAGTACTCGAGGTTTGGCCTCACCAGAGCCAAGTACAGAGGGACAATTATTTCCCAAGTCCTGCTGGCTACACTATTTCTGTAGAAGCCAGGATGTCATTGGCCTTCTTGGCCACACCACTGGCTCATGTTCAGCCAGCTGTTGACTAACACTCCCACATCATTTTCTGCCACGCAGCTTCCCAGCCATTCTCCCTCAAGTCTGCAGCTTTGAAGGGGTTGTTGTGGCCAAAGTACAGCACCTGGCACTTGGTCTTTTTGAACCTCAAACAACTGGTTTGAGTTCATTAATCCAGCTGATCCAGATCCCTTCCTTTCAACTTGGCTATAGAAGGAGATGAGGATGGTCAGGCAGGACCTGTTGAATCCATGCTGACCGGGCCAGATCCCCTGGTTGTCCTACTGATGCCAGATGATCTGCTTCATGACATTCCCTGATATTAAGGTCAGGCTGACTGTAGTTCCCCAGATCCTCCTTCCAACACTTTTTGTAGATGGACATCACATTTGGAAGTCCCCAGCCAATGAGATTTCTCCAGCTGACCAAGACTGCTGACAAATGATGGAACATGGCATGGACAACCCTTCCATCAGTTCCCTCAGTACCCTTGGGTGGATCCTACCCAGGCCCATGGACTTGTGACAGTCTAGGTGGGGTAGCAGGTTGCTGGGTGTTTCCTCCTGTGTTACGGTAAGTTTATTCTGCTCCCCATCCCTGTCTTCCTCAGCTCAGGTGGCTGAGTAACCTGAAGATAACTGTAATGACTTTTAAATACAGAAACAAAAAAGGCTTTGAGTACCTCAGTCTTTTCCTCATCCTTGGCGGTAATGAAGGACAGAGATTCTCCTTGCCCTCGTTTTTTTATTAATGTATTTGTAAAAGCTTTTTTTTTGTAATCTTTTACAGTGATGGGGAGATAAGTTCTAGGTGGACTTTTGCTTTTCTAATTTTTTCTCTGCATATCCTGGTAACATTTCCATACTAATCTCAAGTTGCTTGCCCCTTTTTCCGAAGGTGGTAAGCTTTCTTTTTCTCCTCTCAAGAATCTCAGCAAAGGCTCCCTTCATAGACACACCAGGGTTCTTCCCTTCAGTTCATCTTATCACACATGTGGATGGCCAGCTCCTACAGCCTTAAGATTTGCTTCTTAGGGAATATCCAACCTTCTTGGAGCCTTTTGCCCTTCAGTACAAACCCTCAAGGGACTCTCCTCAAATAATTCAGTCGCAACTTAAATTCCAAAACCTATCTTGAATTCTGTCACAACAAAGGCACAAATAGCATCAAAAGGACTCTGTAGGCAAAAACAGCTTCACGAAATCAACAACAAAAAAACCCCCAAACACTCCAACTTCAGAAAAACATCACATTCTGGTAATAATAGGTTACTGCAGGTGACCAAGCTACAAAAGACAGTCTTTTGCAACTATACAGTTCACCCAAAAATGAAACCCAAAACCAATGTAACACTACAAGTAAACTCTGATCCACTTTGAAATGACTACAGAAACAAGACTGAAAACAAAATTAGGTTTCCATGGCTTGGGAAGTCCCAGATAACTCCCAGAGTGGTGACAATACCAAAGCAAGGAGCTTCAGAAAAGGAAGATCCCAAAACATCCTTTCCAATCTATAACCTGATATGATCAAGTTCTAGACTAACTGCCTTAGTTCTTAGCAACTCTTAACGTATGTTTCAATCACGACAGAAGATTCAAGAGCTTCTCTCTCTCTCTTTTTTTTTTTTTTTTTTTTTTTTTTTTTTTTTTTTTTTTTTTTTTTCCCCCAGATCTACACTGCATAATTACAAATCATTTCTCCTATTACAGGACCAGACTAAAGGAAAGTAATATAAAGGTTAAGAGCTAAACTCACACAGCCAAACCCAAAGCCTGTCTTATGTGCTTTACTGGGAAAGAACCCAGACGTGACCCTCCTGTAGAAACAGGAAACCCATCAATCCTACATGTCAGGTCAAAGAAAAAATAATTTTCTTGCAGATTGACTGCATCCATTAAAAAATACTGTGAAGGTTACAAAATAATAAAATAAAATCTAACGTTACCTCCTTGAAATATCTTTGTCTCACCACATCACTTTCACATATCCCAGCTTTCCTAATGGCTTGGCCTTCACTCAGTAACTTCTTCCTTTCCTGACCTCTTCAGAGCCTCTTCAGTGAGAGCACTGAATGGAATACAAGCTACCATCTAAGCAACTGCCTGTCTTGAAGATTGTAACAATGCTCTATTCTCATACCCTTGAGAGAAATCAAATGCTCACACATACTTTTGTTTGTATTTGCTATTTTATAGGAGCAAGAAACAGAATATATTCTACCACTGCCAGTGCTGAATTGGGATTATGACTTCTGGATGCTACAACATTATAGCAAACTGCACACCGTTTCATTAGACCACCACCAATTAAGTTCAATTACATCATATTGAAAGAGTGACGCAAGTCCAAATACTGTGTATTAATTACACAGTTAAAAAGGAGAAAATTAAAGGATCCATTACCTGGATGTCTTGAATTTCTCTATACTGAATCCTATTGTTGGAACAATGTCCTGAGTTTGAGCCTTGAAAGGAAAGTATAGATTTCAAAATCAGGTTAGGAAACTTGTAAACATTGAATTCTAATGGAAACATCAATACATCACATATCTATTTTTCCCAATACAAAATATACAACTCTAACCACAAGCTTTTTATAAATCCAGATACTGTATATTCAAGGTTTTGCATTTTCTTGAAAAAGCAGTGGATAAAACTGGACAAAGGCCTTGCAAATGGAAGACATTTTTGCCTTAGAAGTGAGATCCCACTCTTTTATGTTAGGCTGTGTGTGTACGTGTGGACATTACCATAACCCATCTTTATTTCTTTAATAAATAGAAGATAACAGTGTAAAGACTGCAACTGAGGTCAAAACTCAAAATACATGGTTAACACGACCAAGTCTGCACAATACTCCATGCCTCTTTGATAAATGAGGGTATATTTCTACCTAAATACCAGATGAGCAGTACTCAACGTGTACCACTATGCTGGAGGGGTTTAACACCGATAAGAATACAGCAGGCATTACATAACTGCCCAATTGTAGCTCTACTCAAACTATCAGACCACTGAAAGAAATCACCATTTGCCACAGACGAATGGAGAAAATGTAAAGCATCATCAGTTGATCTGACTGGTAACCAGGTTCACTGCTGAGCTGCCAAAGTTAATTTATCATCTGAGTTGGTACAACAGAATAACTCCTTTCAGAAACAGTAATACTGAACAGGATTACAGGTCACGCTTAGATTACAGGAAGATCCTTAAGTTATAGAGCTGAGAAAGCAATGCACAATCTTTTCACAAACTTCCTAGAGCCCCTTGTTAAAAACTCTGTTAAAGCAGTTGATTTGTCACATACAAGGGAAACAGCTTAATTTATTCATCTATCCACAGCTTTATAATGACAGTGGTATTCCACCATCATAAACAGCTTAGTCGACAGTTACTTTCAACAAGAGAAATATCTGCTACAGAAATAACACCTCTGCTATTTCAAATGTATTTACCAGGCCCAGCAGAAACAACTGCAGGCAGGCAGAAACACTTCTAATTGGCAGACAATAGCCAGACTGCTCCTACAGCAAGGTAGCAGCTGTTCTTAAGAACTATGCTGATCCAGAGCTCAAAATCATCTCCATCTGAACTTCCTAAAACCAATTCCATAAATTCTGATCCAACGATGTCTGTTGAGAATTTGCCCCATCTTGCAATGCTCAGACATTCACAAGTTGTATGCAAAGCCACCACCCTGAAACATCTCGTTAAATGAAAACATTCAGAAATAAACTCCCATTGCATGACTTACAGTAAATCAAAGAAGAAATAAGTTCTATTTACTTGAGTAATTCCCTCAGAACTTTCTCTTATACTGACTGCTGTGATTAACGTTGAATTCAGCTCTCAACTCTGGTTAGGAAACCTTTAGTGCTTAATACATGACATAAAATCCTGCTAAAATGAACATCTCAAAAATGATATACCATAAGCTGATACAAATTGCAGCAATTCCCTCAAACAATTGGCAACAGGCAGTAAGCAGTTTCATAGTCTGAAGAGTAGCAGAATCTTTATGAAGTGACATATTTAAACAAGGCCCAGAGGTATTCTTCAAGAAAAATTCCATGGAAGTTGAAAAATAAAAGCTGTGTCCTGATTTGAACAGCAGAAAAATTTAAAAAAAAAAAAAAAAAAAAAAATTAAAAAAAATCACAGCATTCCAAACTCACGTAATGAGGATACACAGACCTCTGTCTCTGAACACGCCCATCAATATTGACCTATTTCTCACCATAAACATATCTAAAACCAAGGGAAGCCTCCATTAAATTTTGTCCAGAATGCTAAACACGCTAACTGGCCCAGCAAAAACTTTTCACTGGATGAACTGCAAGCATAAATTTTGTTTTGGAAGCTACTCTGCTTCAAATGTGCTGAAGTCACCAGCTAGTGTTCATCTTCCCACTATTTACTATTCCATTATTTGTGATTTTTTTATTATTTTTCAAGAATACTTTAAATAAAACATGATAAACGTAAGCAAATACAAGTTGTTAAGCAACTGTTTTAATCCACAACATTTGGCACTCAGTGAAGTTCTCTAACGTTTAAGTGACTTAAGTGTTTCAGATCCTCAGTAATCACAAACCCTTTCTTGCTGAGGGATTTTTGACCATTAACAATATTGGTTTCTTGGTAAACATTTTCATAATACGCATGTGGTTGCTTGCACTTAGCATTAGTTAGTTTGGAACTCTTAAGATATGATTCTTCTACAGTGCTAAATCAAAGAACACTTTACATCTTTTTTCATGATCACATTCAATATAAACAGCTATACAGACAACAGCTCCTTAGTAAAACATTAGCAATAAACAAAACAGGCTACTTACATTTGAAGGCTTAAGTTTATTGATGATTGTTGTTTTGCCACTGTTGTCCAAACCAAGGCACAAAACATGAACCTCCTTTTTCTTCAGCCCAAGCCACCCTGCTAGCTTGTCAAACAGTCCCATGGTTCTGGGTCAAACACACACGGATCACCTGTTGATCAGACGATACGAGGAGGGAATAGCTGTTGGAAAAGGGCGATGCAGACAGCAGCGCTGGCACAGCAAGTGGGCATGTGGATAAGAAGCCCTTACACTTTCCAAAAGGCAGCAGCAATAAGACTCTGCACAAACACCATCGCAGCGGGTTCCCTCACTATGCTAAGCAAATGGAGCATAAGCTGATTACAGCCAAGAAGCCCTCGCACGAATGAGATCGGCTGCTTATAGCCCTGTCTATGTAAAGGCACCGTCCTCAATTCACTGGACAGCAACTCTGTGGTGCTTCCAAGCAACTCCAGTAACGGCACCATGCCAACACCTCCTTACCTGCCTCTCAATCCACAGAAGGAGAGTAAAGCACATTGCACTTCAAACTGCCCACAATCTCTCAGTCATCGTATCTTACACAACAAAGCAAAACAATATCTACCTTCCTCAGCGCCTGCTAATGTGAGTTGCTGAACCTGGAAGCAAATGGAGTGCACTCTGTCAATTCAATTCAAACTCTAATTGTAATGGGCTTTGTCGACGTTAGCACGTGTCAGTTGAGATCCCATAAGCCACAAATAGAAGCTCTGATCAGGCCAGGTTTGGCACACAGCAAGCCAGACAATGCAGCATCCCCCTGCGTGTCACCTGGAAGCCAAAGCCCTGCTCCTGCCATAAAGTACAAAGCTCCTGCCATGATGCTGACCCGAGTCAGTGGGCAGCTGTACTCCAGGAGCTTCCATCATGCCTCCCACAGAGTGCCTGGCTGTGCACACTCTGCTAAGAGGATAAGCCTCGTCCACCCCAAATCAAATCCTCTGAGAACAACTTCCTCTATGAGCTGAAATCAAACAACCGTGACACATTCAGTAACAAGGAGACATTTAATTAATACCAGAGGAAGCTGCTATAACCTAGAACAGCTTTGTTGCAACAGATTAAAGAAGCCTGATGTTACCTACAGCTATACCCTCAAAGAAAAAAACTCATGATTAGCTTCCTTCTAACTCCACTTACCTTATGTCCAACTCCTTATTTTAATATACATACAAACACTGAAGGCAGATTAAAGCTTACTGTTTATTATCAAGTAAACCCCAGCTTGAGAACACATTTCTTTCTTGTCCAATCTGGAGTTTCATCTATAAACTCTAGAGGTAAGATCCGCAAAATAAAATCACAAAGTTTCCAATAGGAAACATTCCCCAACTGTTCTATGTTTTTGAGCTGACTTGCTACAGCCTGTAATGCGGAGATCAGCCCAGTGTTAATCGCTGGGTCAAGCAGCAGCTCTCCAAAACATGTAACTTCAAGTGCAGAAGCTCCTGTAAAGTATACAGGAGTATAAAGTACAAAGCTCTGCTAGCTAACCACAATTGAAGACTGCAGAACCGCGTGGAAGATGCTAAAGGAAGACTAATGCAAGAAGAGGAATTATATTTACGTTTTCCATTGCTAAATATTTCTGTCTGTTCAAAACTCACCGCCTGCCTCAGTAAGACAAACTTACTCCGGGCAATCTCACACATTCACTCTGAGGCCTGGGAGGACAGCAGACATCAGAGCTGGGAAGGAGAGAACCTCGCAGCTACACTCAGAACAACCCACCACAGCTGCAGGCAGCAGCTGCGTGCTTCAGCGGCAAGGCTCAGACAGCGCTACCGACGATGGCGGGCAGCGCTTGCAGCTTCCCACACAGTGAGGGCAGAGCGGCCCGGCACACCGCTGCCAAGCCCACCCCTCAGCACAGCTCTCGATCGGAGCCTCACGGATACCAGGCAGCGAGTGCGAGCCGCCGCGCCCCGAGAGCAGCCCTGAAGCGGCAGAACCGAGCTCCCTCTCTTTCTCTCATAAAAAGCTAACCCATCCGACCCGCCGGCACACACAGCCTCCAAACCCCCCCCCCGCCGCAACCACACACCTCGGCCTACGAAATGTCGGCCGGGTTCAGCCCCGCCGCCGCCTGCGCCGTTGCCGTGGTAACAACGCCGCTTCCGGGGGACTCCCGCAGCTGGCGCCGACTCAGCGCTATTCAAAGCCCCGCCCCGCAGAGCCGCCTCGGGTTGCTTTCGGTTTTGCGGAGCGACTTAGCGCAGCTATGCGTAGTGGTTCTAGGTTTGGTGTACAGGCTTAAGGTGGCTTAAAAAACGTGGCAGATTGAAACTAAAATGCAGTCTGTTTCCTGCCGTCTACCTTCCTTTAAATGCCATAGCTGACCGGGTGTCCGCCACCTCTCTGGGCAGCCTGTACCGCTGCCTCACCACCATTATTGAAAAATACCTTTTCCCTGACATCCAGTGTAAATCTCCCCTTTTTCAGTTTGAAACCATTTCTCCTTGTCCTGCCACCACAGACTCGGCTAAAGAGTCTGTCCCATGCCTTCTTACAGCCCCCCTTCAGACACTGAGAGGCCACCAGGGCTATCCTTAGGAAGTCTCATCAGGCTTTTAACTGGACCTCTAGCACGAGTTTCTCTCCCTGTCTCTCTTCAGTTCAAGGAATCGATAGGACTTAAAGATTGCTCGTGTTCCTCCAGTGTTCAGGTTGATGCCCTCCACTGCAGACCGTAATGAGACCCTACAAGGTCAGGAAGAAATGGATGCTGGGAAGAGCTCAGCAGTTGATCCCATCCTTACTTTTCACAGAAGTAGAGTGCAAGCCAACACCTCAGACCCTTTCAATGCCCTTGCTACAATCTATGATTTCTGTGCTGCCAGATATAAAACGTCTCTTTGGGTTTGTATTTTACTTTTAAACAAAAGTGAAGAGTGAGGGGTAGACAGTACGGTTCTTCCCCTGCATCCCAAAATGTCTGTGCTGTTCCTTGGTTTGAAGAGGCAATTTTCCTTCACAGAACTTCATCCCTCATTGCAATAAACTGTAATCTAGTTTCACCTGTGCTTTCAGACTACTTTTTATCCTATCTGGTGCCTTGGGGAGAGTAGGAGAGTAGGAGTAACAGCTGTTTTGTAGCGATGCGCACAGCCCTTAAAAACCAGCTGCTTAAAAATCTTTCTAGTCATAACATGTTTCACATTAAACTTGAAAGGTTAAAAATACTGCTGACATGTTGTCTGTTGTTTGGCTTTCTTATTCTTATTGTTGCTTTTGTTATTATTAAAGGTCTGGGGTAAACAGCAATTGTGACTTGCCCAAGCTCAGAAGGGTTTTGATTGAACGATGAGATCCCTAATAATGATGAGGTACTCAAGGAAAATCAAGTGATATAAATGTCACATTGAACCTCTGAGTCCAAGCATTTTCCAAAGGCTAATCAGGTAGTGGGGGTGAGTGTGTTGGAAGGGAGTTTCATCTCCTTGTTTTATACCAAAATAAGTCTGTATATAGAACTAGTTCTAAATTCAACAGAGATGAGAATAGCAAAGGCGTTTCTGGAGCCAAATCTAAAGTGAAATATTCATTTTTTGTTGCATCCCAAGTAAGGAAACTCTTCCCCTGTAAAATATGCAACATGTAATAGATATTGGACCTATGACATTCATTTTCTATTAATATACATATAATTCTGTGGGTCTTGTATTGCATAAATATGACATTGTGAAATGAAGGGTTAATTGTCCTCTTGAGACTATATTCTGATTATTTTTTATGGGACTCTACTTCTCTGAGAATCCCAGTCTCTTACCTTGGTATTACTTACATAATACCACTGTAAAGAGAGTGAACAATAATGCAAAATCTTAATAGCAAATTAAAATCTTTTTAAAATTCAGCTGGATAGTGTTTCTTAAGCAGGGAAGAGTGCTGTTGTTTGAAGCTTTTAAGGTGTACAGTATTTCCTAATGTTGTTAACTGTATATGCATTTTGAAAAAGTGTACATGAGTGTACATGAGAGCGTAAGTGCTCAGTGGTAAGCACAGGAGAGGCCACTATAATTAAGCATTCTTTTGCTGCAGAAAAAAACACAACAACCTGAAGCATCTCAAGTGTTAGAACATATTGCTGGTCCATCTTTATTAGTACACCACCCTGTGTTAAGCAGCTGTTTTTTTCCTTTTTTCTTTTGCATGATCATATATGACAGGCTTCACTGTGCATCATTATATTGATAACCTAAGGCAAAACAAACACCATTAACTCAAAAATAACCACCAGTACTGTAACTTTTATTTGCTAATAAATATCTTAATAAACAGGCTTACCCCATCTGTAAGACCTGATAATGCCTCTTAGGAAATCATAGAAAAATAAAATACAATAATAATCAGTAACTTGTACTTTGTACAAAAATCTTATTATGTTGCTCAGCAGGTAGCTTTGCCAAACCCCATATTCTTTCTGCAAAGAGATGGCATATGTAATGCAATTCACCTTAAAAACACTCTAATGTTGGGAGCTGAGCATTCTATCACACTATTAACTCGTAGGCATGCCAGCACATGAGAATTTACATGGAACATCGTATTATCATAGGAATAGAATTAAAAAATGGTAACGCCACTTTTCAGAAAATAATAACTTCACTTGTAATGTGAATTCCCCTTGGGTCTGCAAAATCAGTATATTAAGGTTTCTGTTTCATGGGTATTCCTGCAACACTGTTATAAACCGGCTAAGAAGACAGAAAGAAAAAATGTGCTTGGAGCGTGTGTGGGAGATAAACTGCATGAAAAAAAGGTTGTTCTGAACAGTGGGGCAGTCACAGTACCAGCTATGGAATGTCCAGTCTCTCAGAATTAGTAGATCTTGCCTGCTGTGTGCAATGCGACACAGGTTCAGACTGATGAAGATACAACTCAGAGGCACAGTGCCAAGGTTGCTTTTCTGTGAGATGGATGGTGAAGATTCACTTACAGGTAGTCATCATTATTCAAATATATCTTTGTGAGAATAAAAAAAGCAGCTGAAAAACAACTGTGATCTGGGGTCTTTAAAGAAAGAGTGGTTTCTGAAGGATACGGATAAGGATATGAGATCTGAGCTGAGGCCATGGTTTGTCTGTAAAATGTTTTGCAAGTATGATTATACTGTTAGGTTTGAAGCCATCTACCTTTAAAACTTTGACATGGCTGCTTAAATATACAATGTGTCCATCATCAAATAGTTATTCATATATACACATACATTGATACATTTTATGGCTATGCTAGAACAGCGGACTATGAAGAGCAGTCATATTCAGTTGTGTACAATCTAATTTCACAGAAGAGATCAAAACTCCTTTAATTGATACACGTTTAAAACCAACACAGAGAAATAGAAGCTATCCTGAGAAGACATACTGACCACATTGTGTCCCAAAAGAAATAAAAGCTGATTTTTGGAAGGTAAGCAAATATTTTTCTCATTTTGTTTTTGTTTCTGTTTTTGTTTTTTTTTTCCTTCTCCTGCAAATGAAATTTAAAAAAAAAAAAAAAAAAAAAAAAAAAAAAAAAAAAAA